CAACTTTTATGCTTCACCTGCTCGGCTCAGCTATTTGCATAGGGCGTATAATTCTGCTTCGCCCGCTCGCATCATTTTCAGCTGCACGTGCGTCCGAGCCGATGGAATGCAATCGGGGGACCGGGGCTCTATTATTATACGACAACAGTTAATAAAATCTAATATGCTTACCACAAAATGGTTGTTTGGGGTTTGTAATTATGCACGTTAATTTCCCCCTGGCCGAGCCCGGCTTTCTTGCTTATTAAATATGCGGCCCGGGGTGCTCGAACAAGACCCAAAACCCCAAAACTTGTGTCTGTCTGTGCGGTCTCCTCTCCGCTTGCTACTTACTTATGAAATTGTTCATTCAGTTTGTATGACCGCATGGAAATTTTCATTTTATTGGCGCCGGGGGCGCTGTCTGGTTGATACCCCCCATCCTCCACACTCATTCGCATACGTATACGTATATGTACATACATATGTATGTATGTATGTATGTAGTACACGGCATACCAAAATCCTATAAGTAATTGTCATCGTAGTTCGGCGCCTCTTCTTGCCTCTCTTTCCGACACAAGCTCTCGCTGCCTGTGCGTCTGTCTCGCTCTCCCCCATTTGCATTTATATTAATTAAGCGTCGCTGGGGCTGCCTTCCTGTCGTTGTCTACGTGGTTATCTGCCCTGCTATCATCGGCAACGTCTTCGCCGTGGTAGTTGCTGTGACTTGTTTTACAAGAGTTTGACTTAGGCCTGAGCCTGAGCCTGAACCTGGGCCCCGTGCCTCCCCTCTCTTCCTTCTCGTCTGCTGCCCGAGCCCCTGCAGACATTTTAATTGCTCGAAATTGATGATAATTAAGCCAATATACATATTTGTACTAAGCACACACAGAGAGAGGCAGTCAGTGTGGATTGTTTTCATTGGGTTTTGGGCATGTTAGCATATTGATTATGCATTTGTGTCGCTGTCATACGCTTATTGGTTAGCAGAACCTAATTTTAGATTGGATATGCGATTAGGCATTTGATAATTTAAATTATGCCTGGCTTGCTGAATCCACTTGAATTTGGCTCAGTGAGCATAATGTCTTAATATAAATTTCCTACTGTTCTTAGGCATATTTCGAAGCACACACTCACTTAATATGCACATGCCAGGCCAACCGAATTTCCACGAATAGATTAGCCCGTTTGGCCCTCGCTTTACTTAATATGAGCAGCATGTAATTGCATCGATCATAAACGAAATTGAGCAAAGTCGATTGAAATTCACGCACAGGAAATCTGGCGCTACACGCAGAGTCTGCTATCTCATAAACAAATCAAACGCCATCAAATTCAACCCATCAATTTTCGTAAGCTCCGCACCCCAATCGCAAAGCCACCAAATTTGTGCCATAACAATAAATTATGTTTGAAGAGTTGTCAACTCTTGGAAATGGAAACAAAAACATTTTCTATTTCGCTTTTAGGTTTTACGATGAGTTTTATAGACTTTTATTATAATTACGTACAAATTTTGTGTTGAGCATTTCTACGAAGTCATAAAAATATGATTTCCATGCAACATCAAGGCCCACACGTACACGGGAGTGGCGAGTGCGACTGCGTGTGTCGCACGACCTGTATACCCTTTCCTTTTTCTATTCACGTGCTCTATCGGAAACTCTTCATCTACATATAAAGTGGATGCACGCGCGCTTCTTCACACTTGGCGGCGCAGCAGGGATCGGTTCAGTTGCAGAGCTGTGCCTGTTGGCCCAGTGGCCGGCGCCAGCCAGAGTCGTCTATGGGTTTCCTGTGCACTTCCCAAGTGGCATTTCGAAATGATGCCCCAAACACGTTTTCTGCATTAAGCGGCGCTGACAGACCAAACTTTAACGAGCCGAGCCAAGTCGAACCAAGCCGGGCCATAATAATTACATAAAATTTTCGTGGAAATTTAGAACAAGTAGCGGCCCCTACAGCACTACGTGGCATAATTGAAACAAAGCACACACCCAACCGCAGCTGACTGAATGCGAAACACCCTTACCTTATATAAATACATTCAAACATTTTTTTTTAACTATATCTATATTATATTATATATTTTCAGTAGAGTAGACATATTATATCAGTATGTCTACTCTACTGAAAATATACTCTTTATAGATGTGGATGGTATGGCAAATTAATATTATACAGCCTAAGTTAGGGAATCACAAAGTGCGCCTTAGTTTCGGAACACTTGAAGCACTATGGGCACGCTTTCAAGCCTGGTTGCATAAAGGCTAAAGTATTTGATGTTTGTTTTTTACTTTGTGACAATAAGTAGAAATGATTATAACCACAAATGACTGGAAATATAATGACTTAACTTAAACAGCAGTCAATTGTTCGTAACTAGCCAAGAAACGAAAGAGCCACAGCTATTTAAAGGAAACAAGCTGCAGATATCATAGAGTGATAGTTGCCATTGATTATATTCTGGATGGAACTGGAGCAGCTTCTTATAAATAGAATTACATTTTGTGTCATCTTAGGCTTAAAGCTTTTTAATCTGTGGGGCTGAGGCAGTGCGACTTACGTAAATGCCAATTCTGCTGCCAATTGCATTTGATCACTTCTCTACTCATTTTCAATAAATGAAAATAAAATTGTGTATTTAAAGAAATATAATTTTGCAAAGTCTTGAACACTTAAAAAACGAACGTGTCTGGCTGGCTTATCAGTTGGACTTAACATTTCATACTTCATTTGGTTTCTGAAATATACTTATAGATATAATATAATAATAACTACTATAAATATAACAATAACTATTCCTCATTCTGAGTGTTCAATGTGCACTGCCTATTATTTTCCTAATCTTCCTCTCTTCAAAGTGAATAGATTGATTTTCTATAACAATTGGATATCTTTGCTACATGTTGGGCATAAAATGAGTGGAAATTATTATATACATTTTACATTTCGTTTCATTTTATGTAACTTAGAAAATGTCATCATTTATTAAATTTGTTACTCTATTGGTCTGATCATCATTTGAACAAATTTAAGTGAATTACTTTGCCATAAAAGCCACTTTATTCCGTACTCATGCACATCCGTCGTGTATATGCCATTCAGATTACTACAAATTGTAAAGAAATGATGAGCTCTTAGTAGATTTTCAGAATTATGTCTTAGTTACCCTCCACGCAGTTTTGCACAATGTAACTCGCTCTCCAACTGCGTTGGTAAACTTACAGCTATATACGAAATACCCTCCGGTAAACTTTCTTTGGTTTCTGTGTCCATTTCAGATAGTTTAACTGTGAGTTTTGAAGTTTCAGTTTAATTATTTCGGAATCTTTTTCTTTTATCTCTGTGTTCAACGCATTTTCATTGCTATTTTTTGTAGCAATTATATTTTGTAACTTGTCCACTATATCCTGGTTGGATGACAACAACTCGTTTTTAAACTCTTGAATTGATTTTGTTGTTTCAAGCTGAGTCTCTAAAGATTTTATTGTTGCTTCCAGGCTCTGGATCTTTGCTGTAAGTTCGCTGAATTGTTCCTCTTTCGATCGAACTGAGGCAGCGTAGTTCAGTAGGGGTTTTACTATTTGGTAACAATACGATCCACATTCTTCATCCTTCTTCTGTGAGGCACTTACAGCATTTGCGCCATCAGCCCCTGCCTGGAATATTAAAGCAATAAGCAATATCTTTAGAAATAAATACATTGCGAATATATAGAACGAAACTGCACGCTTTGAATGTACTTTTAAACTGAATTGTGTTGAACATTAGGCTGCTTAATACCACGACTTTATCTCAAATTTCAACGGCATCCGCGAAGTGTGTATGCATATTCACATTATGTCTCGCTGTTATTATCAGTTCTTGTGCCTCCCATTGCCAACAAGCTATCATGAATATATATATATATTTATATATATATATATATATATATATATATATATATATATATATATATATATATATATATATATATATATATATATATATATATAAGTGCCAATGGCAGATCCGCAGCCACAGCCACAGCCAGAGTCAGAGCCAGGACTGGTCCTAGCCCACTAAAATCAAGCCGAACACTCCAAAAGCAGCTAAGCAGGCAAAATCATAGCCAGACGCTGCCTCTGTCGCTGTCGAAGTGACCACCGCCGGCATAAAAGGTACCTACTAAATTCCAGGAACATGTTAAACGATGTCGAGTATTTGGGAGCGAGTAATGTACCCGACATCTCTGGCAAATCAGTGCATATATATAACTCCAAAATGTTTGCCTCGATGATGAAATTGATAGACTTGCGTGTTGACAATAAACCAAAAACGTATATTAATTCAAATTTTATAATAAATAAAGTTAATCACATAATTACTGCTAGTTATAAATTTAGTAAATAGCACCAAAATGTCACCTTAACATACGCAACTCTGAGCTAGCAGAACATCTCAAGGACTCTTGATGGGAGCCAGTGTAAGAAAGCAATAGGCCACATATCACAGCGAACTGTACTGCAAGAGACTCACTTCATTTTTTTTTAATATTGAAATCAACACTCACCTCGGACAAAAGCCTCGTCTATACGTATAAACAAGTCTAGATTCACATGTTATCATCTAATGCTCCAGTACAAGTCTCGGCAGAAAACTCGGAAAGCATTTACAAAGTTTAATTTTATAAAGAAAAGAAGAAACACAGCTCTAGTCTAGGAGGTACCTTGAAGCTCGTCAGATCTGCGCATATATTCCATAGCTTGTGTCTATTATAATTTATCAAGAATCAAATATGTATAAAAGGATGTCCGGGAAATATTTAATAACTGAATTCCGTTAACGTTTTTAATCGATAACAGTATAATGCAATTATCGATTATTTGAAACAAACTTGATCTTGGATTACGAACGGTAGACTGGGCTAGAAATGCAGATTATAAAGTTTATTAAATAGGCTTCACTTTTATTTTAAATTTAACAATTTCACAATTTTCAAATATACGTTTAATTTCTTAATTTTTTGGTCTGATCATCATTTGAACAAATTTAAGTGAACTACTTTGCCAGTGATTCCAATCCACTCCTGATTCACTTAAAAACCCCTCCTTTCTATATATTCCATTTAGAATACTGCGAATAAGTATTAAATGGCTTAGTAATCTATCAATATATCAATCAATTATAAACTGTTTAGTTACCTATAATAGCAAGATTTAAACCACCAACCAGAATTAAATTCTTTTCCACAATGTTTACTGTCTGTTTTATCATTATCTTCATCGGGGGTTGAAAACATCATATTGAGATGGGGAGACATTGAATCTCCTGCATTTCCAGAAAAGTCTCCTAATGATTTGAGTTTAAAATGTTCCTCCTCTCCGCCAATAAGAAAGTGACTGTATCGGGCATAGGCATGCTTGTTACCGAAATCCTTGAGATATATGTAAAGCTCATGTTTCTGGGAGTTCGTCAATAAATAAAGCTTCTCAAGTCCAATAAAAAACTCCCCGTTGAGTCAGCCGAATCCCGATCTATAGTCACTCATTGTGCGATTGAAGTTCTCAGAGCCATCTTGACGACGCTGAATAACTGTCCAACCGGAATCAGCCAGGCTCGAGTCACAGGGCACGGAAAAGGGTTTTGAGCCTGGAACTTTTATTTCGTATATAGCTGTAAGTTTACCAACGCAGTTGGAGGGTAAACTTTCTTTGGTTTCTCTTTCCATTTCAGATATTTTATCTGTGAGTTCTTTAATTTTGTTTGAGCTTGCAGAGTTTTGAAGTTTCAGTTTAATTATTTCCGAATCTTTTTCCTTTATCTCTGTGTTCAACGCATTTGCATTGCTATTTTTAGTATCAATTATATTTTGTAACTTGTCCACTATATCCTGGTTGGATGACAATAATTCGTTTTTAAACTCTTGAATTGATTTTGTTGTTTCAAGCTGAGTCTCTAAAGATCTTATTGTTGCTTCCAGGCTCTGGATCTTTGCTGTAAGTTCGCTGAATTGTTCCTCTTTCGATCGAACTGAGGCAGCGTAGCTCAGAAGGGGTTTCACTATTTTGTAACAATATGATCCACATTCTTCATCCTTCTTCCTTAAGGCACTGCAGTGCTGAAATATTTATATTATACTCACAATTACAGATCACACAGAGTTCTCAATCTAGAGATTAACTTACAGTACTTTCTTGTATAGCCCCCAGCAGGGATATTAATGAAATAAGCAATAGCACTCGGTATAGAAACATTTCAATTATAAAGACCAACTGCACTCGTTAAACACAATTCAAGACTGAATTCTATTGAATTCAAAATCTGAAACTATGCTGTTTCTTATCAAATGAGGGTCAAAGCTGAGTTTATGCAAGCGCGCAATTTAGATGAAATTTATTTTTTTGATTATCGCATAAATTATACTATACATGCTATATAATAATGATTTTTGTGCAATGACTTACAAATAGCTAGCAGACATATAAGTGGAAAATACGTGTTGATCTTTTGTCATCATGAGCTAAGGTTAAGCATAGTATAAGGCACAGTAAGGTAAGCTGAGTAGATTTAGTAATGTTTGACTGCCCTCATTGTTGAGCTTATTAGAGCTCGGGACTTAAAACTTTGATTTTTTTAAAGTTGCTTCAAATAATCAAAATAATGTAATCGACTAAAAACGTTATCGAACTTCATTTACTTAATTATATTTCATAAAATTTCGAAGTTGTTCTTTTTAGAAATGATTATGAATAGATGAAATGAAATACTTTTGTGTATATGCATAGATATAAGTGTGCAGGGTATCTCCTAGTCGAACCCTCCTGACTAAAGTTTTCTAACTTGTTAATCTTGAGCTTTGCAAGCTCTCTACTTGCAGATAGTAAAGTCGCAATTGTGTTTGTTGACATTTGCCAAAAGTATATTAGTTTGTGGGAATTAGAGCCTTGAGATATGGAGCATACATAGTGAAGACACCATGAAAGTTAGATTGTAGAACCGGCTGGTATCACAGGGCATTCACGAAAGTATCTAAATTAGAAGAAGAGACTTCAAAGCTCTGCTTGAAGCACTTTGAATGAAATAAACTCAGCTTCAAGCTCTAGTTGGCATAGCTGCAAGTTGTTGTGGCTGCCGTCTGGTCTCTTGATGAATGACAGCTAATTGGAAAGCGCTTTGAGTGTCCTGTTATTAGCCCGATGCCTTTCACCTTAATCAATTCCATGCCCGAACCCGTTATTTGAGTGGCCCTAACTGCTGACCATAATAACCGAAAAGGATGCCATTAAAGCCGAATAGTGAAAGGCAAGCCAAGCTGAAAACGTGTGCTAAAAGGCTGACTGTGCGGCGCCAATGGACCAATTTGGCCATATATCAGAAAACTAAGCCAAACAGAGCTGCGCCGACTTGAGGGATCGATGTTTTATTTCGACTTCCGCTGCGAGACAAATGATTGTCTGAGTCGAGCATCATTAATTCTAGGTATACGCGAAATCTGTTTGCATAGAAATCCAGTGGCTGCAAAGTGTTGGCCGACAGCCTGGCATGGAATAGCATGGCTGGGCTTATCTGCCAATTTGGCACGTAATTTAATATTAATTTGTTAAACTTCATAAAGTCAACTCCCACCACAGAGCACCGACTGTAGCAGCAGCCAGCAGCCAGCAGCCAGCACCCAGTGCCGAAACAGATTACAGCTCTCCGCTCGTTAGTTGGCTTAAACGTTTTCATTGTTATGCGTTGTGGCAACGCCCCAGTGAGTCCCGAGCTCGATTTGGAGTCCAGGCTTGGGTCTACGACTGCGTCTGCGTCTGCGTTTGAGTTTGCTGATTTGCTTTGCTCTTGGGTTCTGGGCCGCTGCGCTTCTTTCATGTTTGTTCGATATAATTACGTGGCAAGCCCACTCGAAGCTGTCGGCTGTGTCTGAAATCATCATCATCGGCCCGATGGGATGCAGAGGGTATAGCATTGGCGTCGGCGGCCTGATTGTTATGTATTTTGATAGGTTTCAACGAAATCAGCGCCCTAATAGCTAGTTGCATGCGAGCCGAGCTCCAGCTCGCCGCGTTTGCCTTTAATTATTGAGCAGTGTTCGACAAGTGATTATACGGCATTTGTGTCGTGAGATGGGGGCGCTCCCATCGCTCTTCGCCTTGCCCCAAGGCCCTCATGCCATCTTGCCATCATGCCATGGAGAGGCGCGCCTCTCAAGGGCACTAGCACAAGCTGTGCTCGTTGATTATGCGTTTAGCTTAGTTAAACGCCATTAACCGATGGCAGCAACGGTTTCCCGGAATGAATTAGCACCGCCAGCCAACAGCATCGATATATACGAGGCATTGCATACTCTGAGTCCTCTATATATAGGAATATCTTTATGCTTGAAGTAAGCGTCTGCTTAAGACCCAGTCACTCGCACCTTGTCCCACCTAACCCAAGGTAAGCATATCACAGGAATCAGGCCAAGGCTCTGTTATGCTCGACAACTGTTGCCCAAAACCGCACGGGATCTGACATAGCAGCTACCGTTTCAAATGCCAGCCATTGTGTAGAACAAACAACACGAGCTCAGGCATTGAGATTCAGTTGCCGGAAACTGCAGCAAATTGCATAAGCGTCTAAGATATTTGGCAAGGACATGCCCACCCAAATGACAGCAACAGCCCGGATCGCAAAAGCAAAAAATCCCATTCGAAACAAAGGAGCAAACAAAAGGACAAAGAAATACGCAGCCATAAAACGATTGTCAGCCAGCAGAAGAAGAAGCAAGACGACGGCACATAAATTTTGGTTTCGGGTTTTTGTTTTGCCTTAGCTGGAAATAAAATCCATTTATGGTTACGCTTATGGTTCAATTAACACTTTCAATGGCAGCAGAGAGAGGCCAAGACACACAGACACAGTTACAGATACAGATAGATATCTTGCTGTGTAAGTACGTGAGTGTGTTAGGGGAAAGTAGAGCTCAGCAGGGTAGCAGACAAAGGCTAATCATTAAGACAATACATGAGCGACAGAGGATGTCATAAATTTCAAGTGTAATACCAAATGTTCTCTGTCTTCCCGCTTGCATTAGGCTACGCTGGATAATCTATCTGATATGCTGCGCGATGCTCGTGTTGCGAAGGTCGTAAAAAACTGAAGCCGCAAGTAATTGAAAATAATTCAACACTCTGAACCGAACTCTCAAATAGTAAAAAGGACCCTTAGGATTAATGAAATTGTGGCCGATTGTATACGTCAGATAAGACGCTGACGATCAGCTGCTGCTCCTGCTCCTGCTCCTGCTCCTGCAGGTAGATCCCTCAAGAGATGCGTCAACTTTGATTGCTCTGGCAACGGTAGCAGATGTCAAGAAGAAGAAGACGACACTTAAGAAGAATCACATAAATGTCCATGCCCTCCGCTGGTCCACATACTTTTTTCGTTCTTCAAACACATTAGTCTTCCACCTACTATCTGTCTGTATCCGGGAAGATTCGAATCAGGGCATATAAAATATGAAGTTGTACTTTATACACAGCGTATGGGCGCTTGTCTTAGCAACTCTTCTCCGGGATTCCTAATAAATTAGAAAAAGTGCGAACGTGCCGGCGATTACCCAGTAGATTATTGATAGTACAACTAGTAGAACAATGTCTTCCTCAAATCTAGAGGAGATTTCGTCGAATCAACGACATGCAGCACAGTTTTCCAAGCAAATACGTGCACAGCTTTGGAAATTTGATCAAAAGTCGAGTGCTACACGTTTTACGAGTACTGAGAAGCAAATATCAAAACGAAAGAGTTATTATTTTGCTTATGAATGAATTTGTAGAACAAAGTTGAGAGTTGATGGAAAATAGTCTCTGAGAAGTTCGTGGAAATGCGCTGGAGAAAACTCATATAACAGTCTAGACAGTTAGGTAGTTAAAATGTGTTGCGACTGCGCTTCAAGCAGTTAAGAACCTGTTCACAATTTATAGCTTCCGCTGGAGCTGGTTCGGTTCATGTGACGAAACTAGTGTGGACCACACTCTCAGACTAGAGGCAAACAATGAATGGAGACAGCAGCAAACTAAATAAACAAAATAAATGAAACCACTCGTGATTATAATGAAAATATGAATGGACCTCAGAGAAGACGACGATGATGACGCTGAGGAAGAAGAAGAAACAGAGCTGTGACAACAGGACCACAAAATGCGAACATATGTGCCTGTGCGACCAGCACTGGGATAAGGATAAACACAAATAGATGGATAGTCACTGTGCACAGAGCCACTTATACAAATAAACAATGACAAAAATTTCACAAAGTACTTAAATGCAACAGAAGCAACAACAACAACAACAACAACAACAAGAGCAGCAGCAGCAGCAACGGCGACAACGAGAACAGGAAAAACAACTGCAGCTTGTTGTTTATAGATACAAAAGAACGTTTCTGTTCCGGTCCAGGGGTTGTAGCAGCTCTTTATTTTCTTAGGATGAGAGGCACTGGAAGCAAGCAGCCAGCCAGCAGCCCAGTAATGAAAACACAACAAATTCCAAATTCAAAATAAATAATGAAAAAAGAAAAAAAAAAACGAAAAGTAAAGAGACCAAAAATGCCACACGTTGAGGGTTCGAGCACTCAAAATGGAGCTCATCAGAGAGGCAAACGAGTTCAGCCCGATGATATGTTGATGCGTATTATGGCAGACAGCCAATTAAACCCTCATGGAGGTTAAATTTATGTGAGACCCGCCATGTGTCAGCTACCGAGAGACTAAAGCGATAAGCTGTGACACAACTGACGAACGATGAAATAAAGATTCTGTTTCCCCGTATGTATATGAGGTTTGTAAAGCTTTCTCTAAACACTCTTATCACATACTTATGAATTCAATTTACATCAGTCCATTGTCTGGTTATAGAGGAACTGAATAGAGCTCAATTAAATGTCAAACAAATTTAATTCAGGGAGAGGGAAATACTTATACTAAAATGCAAAAGAATCTCATATAATAAAGCAGAATTATTATCATGATAAACTATAAATTAAGTAGGTTTCTTATGTTTGGCAAAGTGACTTAAGTATAAATATTATCACATAAGTATAACTAATTTGTAAGCATCAATTGATTCTATTACTCAATTAAGCCAAGTTTTCAAATTTCAGCTAAATTTTCTATTGGCAGTTGAACTTAAGTGTAAAGGCTGCTTGAGAAATTTATTTATTTTGATATAAGTTATTTGTATATTTTCTTCAATTCAATTTTTTTAAAATTTGTTATTTACTAAAAAAAATATTGGATAATTGAA